TAGGGTTAGGTTTAGGTTTAGGGTTAGGTTTAGAGCACGCTGTTGTCGGCGCACTGTTGTCGGCGCGCTGTTGTCGACGCGCTGTTGTCGGCGCGCTTCTGCGCTCATTCATCGGTGCGATTTCGAACTCGCGGTTTTCTCACCATGGTTTCGTCGGCGCGCTTTTGTCGGTGAACCCTGGGAAAATATTTCCATGGCAGCTTTCCAAGCTAGATAAGGTCTGTGGTCATAAATACGCCTTTGAAAGACTGTTTGCCAGGCCTTGGCTGAAGGCGAAGGAGAGGAATTCACATTTGTTTAATAAAAGGGGTTTTGTCGGGACCAGGAATCTGCCTCGTGCCTTTTGGGGGAAAACCTAGCTCAGAACAGGCCCCGCCACCACCTACCTGGAGCGGGATAGACTTGAATCCACCTCATTTAAAGTCCCAGGAGAATTGGCTCCAAACAGCCATCCCAGCCACCTTTCATTTCCATTTCCCGCCTCCGATTTCTCCTCCTCGCCTTCCAGATAGACTTCTCCTGCCTCAGGGAGATCCATTGCCGGTTTGGGACGGCTCGCTACCTCCGAGCCTTCCTTCTTGCCGTCCAGTGATGGTTTTTCGACCTCGAAGTCCTTTTCCCCAAATTTGGGGCGTTCTTCGGCATTGTCACCAGCTGCAGCCCGGCTCTCCTTCACGGCCACCCATAGTTTGGTCCACTTGCTCGGAGGCGGGGAGGCTGGGGTCTCCTCTCGGGCCCAGGCTGGGCTCCCGTTCCCGCGCAGGGCGCTGGCTAGTCGCTCTTTCCATCCCAGAAGTCTTTGGGGGAGAAGCCATTCCTGGAAGGGGCTGGATGGAGCCAAGAATCCTTCTTCCCAAGCGGCGAAAACAAGCGGGGCTTCGGAGGAATCCGGCGGGGTCAAACGGGGGCTCTCCCAGCGGCCGGCCCCGGGTTTGGGAGACGGGGTGCTTCGCTGGACCGTCGGCCGGACGCTGACGGGGAGGTGGCGGTGCTCGAAGAGCAAGTCCAGTTGGAAGGTGAGGACGGAGAGGGGTTGCAGGAGGAGAAGCAGCTCTTCGGCCCAACGGTGGCAGAACCGCTGGCTGAGGAGGAGGAAGGCGGTGGGCAGGTAGAGGGAGGAGATCAGCTCTGTGTTTGGGGCGGGGGAAGAAAAATGGCAACAAAAAAACAAAAACGGGTCAGAAACGCCAGCGGAGAAGAAGAGCATCTTAAATGAGATCATGAGACGGTTCGGGGCAGGGAGAAGGAAAAGGAGAGAAGAGAGCAAGCAGGTGTTTGAGTTGGAGTCAAGGTGCTAGTCCATTGTGTCTCAACCTTGGGAAGGAAGGAAGGAAGGAAGGAAGGAAGGAAGGAAGGAAGGAAGGAAGGAAGGAAGGAAG